CCTGCTGTCAACTTTGAGCAAAAGAGAGAGAGAGAGAGAGAGAGAGAGAAGGTGTTAGAAATTGATGGACTTGGACGTTCTTGCTTCTCCTGGCGCTGTGCGCTGCTTTAGGAAACCCGCCGCTCGGCGGCTTTTAGTCACACTTTCATTACAGTCACACCTCAGCGTTTCGTTCTCATTAAGCTTCGCTGAGGTGAGTAGATTATTAACATTCCTTTATTTCATTGACTTGTTGTACCTTAGAATCTCTTCTTTTATTAGGTACAGAATACAGTGTTTTGTTCTCATTGAGCTTTGCTGAGGATCTCTTTTTTTATTAGAAGGATTTGTTTTGTATTCAAATACCAAATACAATGTTGCTATTTTCTTACCTCCCTGTGTCATGAAACTTGATCAGCTTTGGCTGTGAACCCTCATCAGCTTATACTGTGAGGTTTCATCATCTTGCGCTGTGAGGTTCCATCATCTTGCGCTGCGAGGTTCCATCAGCTTTCGTCACCTTGTGTTATGAAACTTATGGTCTCTGCTGCGTTGATGGTGTAGTGGTAGCACACTCGCTCTGTATGCGCTGCCGCCCGTAGCGGTGGCATCTTGCGACAACCCAGGTTCGATTCCTGGTCAACGCCTGTGCATTCAATTTGCGTTTTTGTATGCTGTGTTGAGAATTCGGTCAACCCCTGTGTCGAGAATTCCGTTGGCGCCTGCGTAAAGAATTCAGTCGACGCCTGCGTGAAGAATTCAGTCGATGCCCTGCGTATGTAGTCTAGAGAATTTCGTTTTGTATATTGTATCATTTTGGCTATTTATTTACAATACTTACTGATTGTTTTCTTGAATGAAAAACATCTTTTATTCGTTCATTCTTTTATTTATTTCGCCATGTCATTCTTTTTTTATTCATCATGTCATTCTTTTCATTTGCCATTTCATTCTTTTTATTCACCAGTTCGCAATTGGCCTACTCTCTGAAGTTTTCAGTCATCCTACTATCCAAAGCTTTCTTTCCCATTTTATCCTGTCCCAAACCCAAACCCAAACCCAAGTCAAAATCACTACGAGCCCAAGTCAAAATTACTACGAGCCTGGCCCTGAAACGACGGCATGAGCCTGTGAACGGAAACGAGACTCAGACTCGCGCTCGAACGGAATGAGACTAGCGCTCGAACGGAAAATGAGACTAGGTAAGTAAAGCCTGGTATAATGCGTCAAGTAAAGCCTGGTAAAATGCGGTAAAGCCTGGTAAAATGCGGTAAAGCCTGGTAAAATGCTGTAAAACCTGGTAAAATGCAGCAAGCAAAGCCTGGTAACTTATGATGCGTCAAGTAAAGCCTGGGAGAATGCGATAAGCCAAAAAAAAAACCCCTGGGAAAATGCGGCAAGTAAAATGTAGACCTGTAACTTCCGAGATTTCAGAGGGCCTGGTAACGAGGCTAAGTAAAATGCGGCAAGCAAAACCTGCTATAATGCGTCAAGTAAAGCCCGGTATAATGCGTCCAGTAAAGCCTGGTAAACACAAAGTACAGTAAACCCTGGTAAACACGGCAAGTCAAAAAAACCTAGTTATAATTGGTGTGAGCAAACAAAAAAAAAAGCCTGGTAAAATGCGGTAAAACGCGGTAAAATACGGCAAGTCAAAGTAAAATACTTACGGCAAGTCAAAAAAACTTAGTTACGGTGTGTAAGCAAGAAAAAAGCCTGGTACAATGGTGGTAAAATGCGCACGAGCGTGTGGAATGGAACCAGACGGGTACAAACGGACAGTACAAAACATTACTTACTTACTCACTTACTTACTCCTTACGACGGCGCTAAAATCGATCCCTATGGCACACACTGAAACCGTCCCTATGGCACAGAAATCCTTGTCCAGAGTAGATGCGGCTATTTTGGGAGACGCTCGCAAGGGGACTAGTTTTGAGGTGCTGGCAAGGTATGGTAGGTAAAGCTGGCCGGTATATTATCTCAACTATGCGTTTTTGATTGGGGCGTGCGCTCCGAGTCAAACGCATCTGATTCGAGTGGTCAGATACATCTGATTCGAGCGCTCAGACACATCTGATTCGAGCGCCAACACGTATGAAATAAGCGCCAACTTACCGCGCATGGAATAGCCGCTGCTAACACGCATGGACAACACGTATGGGATAAAAGTGAAAGGACCCTGGACAATAGTCCAAAGGCTTGATCCGGTTGCCCTTTTTTCGGCCAATCTTGTCCGGACGCCAAATCGGGCTTTTGCGATTTGTTTGTCCGGATTTGGGTCAGGGCTAGAATTGGGGTCAGGGCTAGAAAAGATCCTTCAAACCAATACTCAGGCTACGACATGTTTATAGCTGTCTGTAGATACTCAAAGCAGTCCAAATCTCAATAACTACTCAAAAAAAGCTTGTATTCCAATTTGGCAAATAATGCCAAGCAATCCGGTGGCTTTCTCAATTCATTCCGACTCTTCTTCTGAGATCCCTTTATGCGTCCTAGCTAATTTATGGCTTCCTTGAATATATGACACCCACTTTGGCAGAGATTTGAGTGTCGTCGCGGCTTCTGTTGTGAGAACAATACCGGTCACTGTCCGGAGAACAATACCGGTCACTGTCCCGCCAATGGCTTTAGGGCGAGGGCACAGAGGAAATAGATGGAAGGAGAGATAAATGGATGCAAGGAAAGATGGCAAACCAAAAAGATTGGGATGCAGCAATTTGAACACGCAATCTCTGAAGAATAAAAAAGGAAAATCAATACCTAGAACCTCTACACCATAGTTGCCCATGATATACTATCCGTGAGTCATTAGTACTTTGTCTGGACTTCTGGATCAAGCATCCACCCATATCATGCCAAAATCTCAAATTTTGTCCGATTGAATTTACTTCCTTCCTTCCTTCCGGATCAAGCCCCTGGGTTATTGTCCAGGGTCCCAAGTGAAACCGCAGAAATCCTTCGCCGAGTAGATGTGCGGCTGTTTTGGTGCGGAAAAGGGTTGGGTGACCGGGTTAGGGTACCCAGCGATGTGACCGGGTTATAATACCCAGGCGATGTGACCGGGTTATAATACCCAGGTGATAGTGACGGGATATAATACCCAGGTGATAGTGACGGGATATAATACTCAAGCGATAGTGACGGGGCCATATGCATACTGTAATGACATGCATCTCGGGCTGACAAGCATGGACTCTGTATCTCGGGCTGACAAGCACGGAAGATGGCTCGCGGGTTCTGGCGACAACGGGTGCGATATAAGCAATGAAAAAGCGACAACAAGCGATAGAAAGAGCGACAACAAGTGATAGAAAGAGCGACAACAAGTGATAGAAAGAGTGACAACAAGTCATAGAAAGAGCGACAACAAGTGATAGAAAGAGCGACAACAAGTGATAGAAAGAGTGACAACAAGTCAAGGAAAGAGGGCCGCTGTCAATGGTTATTGGTCCTTGTTTCGACGAAATAAGTATACAAGGTCCGTGAGTCATCGGAAGCTCCGTACGTATTGGACATCGGATGCTCCGTACGTCTTGGGACATCGGACGCTATGACATGTATCTCGGGCTGACAAGCATGGACTCTGTATCTCGGGTTGGAAAGCATCTCGGTTGACAAGCAGGGATGTATCCCGGGCTCGTAGCGACAATGTCAATGGAGAGCTGAATGTACAGGAAAATGTAATAGAATATGGAATAATGGAAATGTGGCAATGGAGGCATGTGACAGTGAAACGAGCGAGTGGTGCGCGTCCGTGAGTTATCGGAAGCTCGTACGTATTGGGACATCAGACGCTCGTACGTGTGAGTCATCGGACCCTCGCAGGGACGAGCGCCCATCGGGATTTTCCAGTCGACGTGTCAATCTGTCCGACGCCATTTGTCATTCGACCCTTGACACATCGGCTTGTCCTCCGATTTATCACCTCGCTTGTCCTCCGATTTATCACCTCGGCTTGTCCTCCGATTCGTCACCTCGGCTTGTGAAAAGGGAAGTCTTCAATTACGTCACATCGGGTTGTCCTCCGACATGTGTCAACAGCCGCTTCCTCCGACATGCGTAAACTTAGTCAGATGGTCAATTAGTCAGATGGCCCCTATAGTCAGCGGAGAGGACAACTAGTCAGCCCGAAACGCTGGGCCACGTTACCAAGCCGTCTAGCGTCTCGACATTATCCCGGAACCGGGAATCTGTCGTATGCATTATCCCGAAACCGAAACCCGAATCTATCATGTCCTCGCGGGCTTCTCACCGACCACCACGACATTGTTGATTCGGCGACCGACTACGATATTGTTGATTCGGCGACTACGAAGCTGGTGATGTCGGCGACCGACTTTGTGATTGCTGCTCGGGGTGATTCAGCGACTACGACTAGGACGACGCTGCTGATTCAGCGCCTTATACAATGAGCTCTAGGGAGACGAGGCCCGCGTGGGTATCGACGGTTCTCTTCTAGATCTTCTTCGTTCGGCATGGACAACAAGCTCAGCACGGAGCGCTTCGCTGCCTTTCGGATCGACAAGGTCTCCTTCCTCAGCATCGACAACCTCTTTTCGCGAAAACGCGAGCCTGGGCCCCCGCGGACTGTTTTTGTGAACCAGGGGCTTCCGCACGAGTTTTTGGATAACAAAGGCCGTATACAGCCTGCGTTCAGGTATCCAAGCAATCAGGTCATCACGTCCAAGTATACGCTTATAACGTTCTTGCCGCGGAATATGCTGGAGCAGTTTACGAGGGTGGCTAATATGTACGTCGTCGTTTTTGATTTGTTGTTCGGATCATGTTCGTTTGGGTTACATTTGGGATTATGGTGTACATGCTATCTCCTCGTCTCATTCGTTTCGTTTGGTCTCTCATTCGTTTTGGTCGTTCGCTTCGCTCACTCGTTTCGCCCCAGGTTCTTCCTCTTCCTCGCCATCCTCCAATTCTTCCCCAAATTCTCCACAATATCGCCCGGAGTCGCCATCCTCCCCCTGGTCATCATCATCGCCCTCACAGCGCTGAAATACGGCTATGAGGACTGGGGCCGGCATCAGGCGGACAAGGAGGTTAATCGGCGGGGGGTCAAGGTGCTCTCGGGTGGGGATTGGAAGAACGAGAATGGGGGAAGGGAGAAGGATGAATCGTTCTTGAGGGGTATTATTTCCAAACTCCGTTCAGCTCAACCAACCGCCGTCGCCTCCCCAGAATCTTCAGACCCCGCCGTCGAATCTCCCGACCCCGACGTCGAATCTCCCGCCCCCGCCGTCGAATTCGACTACGAAAGCGCGAAACCCGGGGGTGCGCACTGGAAACGGACGCTATGGGAAGATATCCGTGTGGGCGATTTCGTGAAGATTATGGAGAATGAGCCTATACCGGCTGATATCCTCATCTGTTCCACTTCAAACGACCACGATGGGAACGGTGATAACGACGAAGGCAAAGGCGGAGGCGTCGCATACGTCGAAACTAAAAACATGGACGGCGAAACGAATCTGAAAAGCCGGAATGGGGTCAAAGCGCTCGAACATTTGCGGGATGCGAATTCGTGTGCTCGAGCTGGGGGGTTTAGGGTGGAATGCGAGAGGCCGGAGAATAATATGTATCGGTTGAATGCGGCGGTTAGTTTTGAGGGGGCAAGGGGGGGACAAGAAGAATA